GACCCATAATCGACCACAAGTACAAGACTACGGGTCTGGCAAGTACTACAGTGCGGCATTGCATTGTTCGCTTTCGATTGCCTTTTGAGTTATTATTAGTTTCAACTGTGACTTTTTGGGCCTTGTGACCTCAAAAAAGAACCTTTGAAGCCTTAGTTGGCCCATTTTTGAATTGTTTGCTCTCCACATTTGTTTACTTATTTGTTTTTGTCGCCACCTCCCCGTGTTTTCTAAAAGCTTTTCAAATCTGAAGTAAACAATGATTTCGGCTGATAGCGGGAGCTTACAAACACTGAAACAACAGAACCTGTTGCATTGCGGCACTCGGCGGAACAAAAGTACAAAGAAAATAGGATAAAAGGGAGGCATTTAATTGTATTTCTAACTGGAGATTGTTTGTAATTGTATTAGTGTGAGAAAAATTAACATTCGGTGCGAGAGAAAAAAATAGCTAAGCCGTTTTACCCCTCCCCGGCTGGCCCCGGAAAAAATTAAAGAAAAGCAGACAAAAGACTGTTTGCTCAAATCAAATTCATGTGCGGTGCTTGCTTCCCAATTTAAACTGATGAATGAGTGGTGTGGTGTTAGTTGAAAGTGAGAGAATAAAATACAAGAAGAAAGGAACGAAAACCTCCCCATTAGATCTGAAAGTCATTCATTGTCATCTGAAAATGTCTGATCTTGCCTCAATAATATTGTATTCTAGTATAGCTGCCCGCTGAGAAATTTCTCTTTGGGATTTTTCCCTGTTAGATCTTTTTGCCCTCTTTCTTTTTTCTTTTATTGATACTATTATTTCTGGGATGGCTTTTCTTTTATGATCGTGGTCGCAGTCTCTTCTCTTTTGCTGCTGCTGCTGCTTTATTCGCACAGGAGTTCAAAGAGTAGTTCTCGCCAATTTCGACTGGAGAAGAAAGGTGTGCTTACGAGTTGATTAAGCTAGAATAAAAGTGCGATTGTTATTGGGCGGTGAGATTTGGCGAATGATCTGTCTTTGATTCTCTAGCTGTTTAGGTGCTGCTGCTGCTGCTGCTGGTGGTGGCAGTGGTGCTGGCAATGTAAAAGTATTGGTGCTGTTTTTCTTCTCTACTCTATTCTCTCTTTCGTTCTTTTGGTCTTTGTCTTTGTGCTACTTTGGTCTCAGAAGTAGATCTAAAGCGAATAGCAAATTGAAGGGACTGCTTTTATTGGCCCCAATTACATCAAAGCATCCGCCGCCGTTCTTTGATACAGTTCCGCCTTATTCACACATAACGGAACACACAGATACGCTGCCGCCGCCCGCCGACCACCACGGCAACATTCACAGCTAACTCCGGCACAGCCGCAAAAAAAAACGTAAAATTATATCAAGCAGACCAGTTTTAATTGTTGTTGCTCAAGTTGTACCAAAAAGTACAAATTGAGATACAAGACTCAGTCGACTCTGTGAACACTATTTGAATCTGGAATTATTGTTTATTTTTTATCGCTTCTTTTCATTCCAGTTGGAATCAAGTCCAGTCGCTGGAAAACAACCCTTGTCTGACTCCGCTCCACCAATCGGTCTGCTCTGCTGGAATTAGATAAATAGGACTTCTTACTTTGTTCAAACGTAAGCTTCTATTCGATTTCCCTCTTAGTCCAATTTCACTGGCTGAGAGTTACCTCAAATTTCATAGGTCCTCCTCAAAACTCCCTCCGCTTCGCTATTCCCCGGCTCTTCTGGCTGTTCTGGACAGTAAAATTTGAGTTAGACAGACTTGTACTTGCAGTAGAACCGAGCTCTCACCCATTTTTACAATTCATACATTCTTTCTTTCCTTCCTTCGTAATTGGTCTTACTGCAAATTGGCCAGTTCTTGTTGGAAATTTAACTTTAAACCTGATCAAATTACACTTTGTTTATTTATCTCGCGTCTTTTATTTTTAACGAGCTGTTTGAAAAAAGTGGAGTTGTTGATTAAGTTTCATCACTTTAAATCATCTTGGGCGCTGCTTGTTGCTTGCTTGCATTTTTCAACACTTATCCTAGACTAGAGCAGAATGGATGGCCTGAAAAACCAGAGATGTTACTGATATGAATCCTGGTCGACCTTTATATTTCAGGTACGTCCCGATTTTTCCAGACCTTCCTTTGAGTTTGGGTTTGTTTCTAGGTTTTTGGGAAATTGGGCCGGGGCTGATATGAAAGCAATACCGCTTCATCCCACAGCTGCAAAAATTGAACTTGACTCGATTTATTCTATGTGAACAAAGTTTCCCTATTTTGACTTCCTCGTTCTTTGAAATTTTAGAGTACATTTCAAAAGGCCCATTTATCCACCTGCAAAAAGCTTCGAAAGTGATTTTTAACGAGCCTTAGCCAAAAGAGCAGGAAGATAAAAGGAGCCGCCAATTAAGTAATTAGCAGAATTAAACTAATTGTAGGCTGAAGCTAGCTTGGCTGTTAATTTTGCCGAGTGCTAGTAATTGTCTCTGAGTGAACTTTTAATTATTGTGCGCTGATCAAGAGCCAGTTCCCGTTTGAAGTCGAGAGTCCCCGTCATTTGGGCAAGTTTAGCCGAGGTTTCGTTTGATCACGCACTTAGAATTCAGCCAATCAGGTCCCATCTCTCCGGAGGTCGAAATCGGTCATCACTTTTTAAAAACAGCTTGTTTGTAATCTAACTCGCATCTAGTTTTGTGATCCCGCCCCAATTTGAGTTTTTTTTCTTGTATAAAATTATCAACCGCCACAGGTAAGTTAATAATACATACTAAATTTGCAATCGAATTAAATTTATTCGGCTATCCTTTTATTTTAATTTCAGTTAGATAAACGCCCTCTTTTTAAGAACTTGTTAACCTGATGTTTCACAAAATGCGTTTTTTCTCAACACAACAGCAGTCTCTTTCTTTTGTCGGTATTCCCTTTTCGGCTTTTTCTTTCAATCTGGTCTTTTTCAGGCAGTTTGCTTGCTTTTTTCTATAAACAAAAGCAGTTCATCTCTTTGGTTTGTAGTGCTAAACTTGAATCTGTTTATTGCGCGGCGTTTTGTTCCGGTCGAATTTTGTCCCCTCCCTTTTTAGTGTTGTGCCGAGGGGAGGAAGGCGGCTTCTGGCTGTACAAATCTGTTCTCTGCTTTCAAGTTGTACCACTCCCATTTCTGGCGCCAACCAGCACAATATAAATTATTGACTGAAACTGAACTCCAATTTTATTCTCGTCACGGTTAAATTCAAGTGGCTGGTTAGAGAAAAATTATTGAAGATTTTTTATTATTCGATGACTGAAATCTCCTTCAGTAGATCAGGAAAAGTTGGAAGTTTCTAGATTTATTTTAAGATTTGGTTAAAAATTTTAGTTTACTGATATTTTTGGATGCCCAATAATCTTATGGATCGAATATTTTCTGAGCATGCCTCCTTGAATTGAATTTCGCTTTAATCTCAGTCTCAAATCACCAGTAGTTTTTGTTGCGTGCCTTCCCGCCCCTTTTTCTTTTATCTTTCGCTCTCGTAATTTGAATCTGATCCCAAATGTACATATATCTCAACTGAAAATATCATCTGAGATCTGACATGACGTGACTTGACGTGACCGGTTCTTGCGGCGCGGGCTTTGATTGCAAACCGATCTTGTCGTCGTCTTCATCAATCAAACAACATCAATAAATCTATTATGTATATATTAATTGTAGTGGTAAATGGTAATATTAATAACAGTATCTGATGTTTGAAGTGTGCATAACTAGCAGCTTTCATCTTGCTAAATAGTCGGCCCCCTCCTTCATATCTCGGCTAGAATAAACTGTAGGCCGCCGCCAATAAGCCGACTCTTCAGATTGCTGTCTACGCTGCTACAGTACTTTTCTCTTTATTCTCTCCTTTGTAGATATAAAAGAAACGAAAGCACAGACGATCCCCGCTTTTCATAATTCCAGTTTTTTATTTAACAAATCTTTTTTTCTCTCCATCTGCACACTTCAGTTTGTTATACTTCTTCAAGCTGCTCAATTGAATAAATTGTCTTCCCAGCTGATGTGCCTAAGCTATTCTTATTCTCAATGACCTCGTAGAAGCTGCATCTTTGTCGCCGGATACCTCTTCCAGTGGAGTCTCTTGGAACCTGAGTAGCTACATATATCAAATTGATGTGCTTAGTCGGGCGCCACATTCATGTTTAAGTTCTCTTCAGTGGAGTGGGCATTCAGTGTTTTTGTTGTGTCCTAAGAAGAGACCAATGTTTCAGTAGTTCGCAGAATCATCATTCACATTTAGACAGACATTTTATGTACCTTCAAAAACTTCGCCGCTCAAGTCTCACAAATTACCTTCGGTTCCGATAGTAAGTATTTTGTTAATTATGATTTAAACTTGAGTGAAATGTTATTTTCTCTAACTTTTTAGTATTACTATTTTTAAATAGACAGAGCTGGGGAAAATGTGTTTCAAGATTTTAGACGTTTTTTTTCTGCTGGCGCGGATCGCATTTAAGCGTCGCAAGAAACTCCCAAAAAGTAAATGTATCCACTTGAGTACAATATTGTAGTTCAACTGGATCTGCAATATTGAGAAATTGTAGACCCGACGACTGAAGCATTTCTCACTTCAAACAGTTCATGACCAAATATTTGTTGCCGTTCCTTTCCCTCCTTCCACTTTTTGGCTCTTTCGCTTGTTTGGTTTGGTTTCATTTACTCGCCTGCCGCTCGCTCGAATGATTGTGCTTTCATTTAAGACACCTGTGTCTCGATGCAGTTTGGATGTTGGCTTTGATGTGATCTAAAGATTTTACCCTTGAGTTCCTGAAACACACATGGCCATTAAAAGGTTTTTTAAGTCGCCGACCAAACTTTGCCATGCATACTTGCGCTGCTACGTTGACCATCCATTGAGCTATCCAACTCTCCAATTTAATTCAGCCAATTAAATTGCTTTCCTTTTAATTTTTCAACAAATCCCTTTTAGTCATTCTAACTGAATAATAAATATTTGCTCGCTTTGTTGCGGTTGTTTATTAACTCGCTTTGTTTCAGCAACTGCAAAACAACAACAAAAGTCGCAATCAAACAGGCCATCGAGCGAACCTTGTGAAAAAGATTCATCGAGCTTAAATCGCCTTCAGTCTCAGAGTGCGAGTCAGGTTCATACCACCATATCTTCAGTAAGCGACCACTACCCAAATTGGGCAACCTTACTATTGTATTACTCAGCATTCAATTATTGTAGAGCGAGTGGAGAAAGCCAATCGTCAATCAGTTGGCGAAATAATAGCAACCTCTTAGATCCTCGCAAGCAACCCAATTGCGATCTCGAATCGCAATCGGTAGCAGTGGTCGAGACCACGTTATCTTCTTCAAAGTCCCAATCCCTCAAACCGTGTCAAAGACACATCAAACTAGCAAACACACACAAACAGCACCCTCAAACACCAATCGGCAGCAGCCAAGCCTCATCAAGTTCCACATCACAAAACTCAACTGTGACTACGGAAGCTTCCTACAAGGGTAAAGAGTTGTACAGCAGTTCGAAAATGACCATTAGTGGTATGGCCGTGAACGAACCCCTAGGAGTGCTGAATAAAACATCGCCAAACCCCAATTTCGGAATGCACAACATTTCTGCACAGCAGCTAATGGCTCAACAGTTGATGTCCGCCAAAACATCTCCAGGGGCTCATCATAATAATCCACAACAGTCGATGCCCCTGAACCTATCGCAAACACACCTCACAGCAGCACATATGGGCCAACACAGTCCAACGAAGAATACTCTCCTGACTGGCAGTCATGTCTCCGATCCAGCGACTGCGGCTGCCGCGAACTCTCTTGCTGCATACCAGCAACTTAGCTTCCTAAATTACCTCGAAGAAAATCTACTCGCTGCTATGCTGGCTTCTGCATCGAATCAACAAGATACACTAAAAATTGAACAGGTCAGTGGCAGTTATCAGCATTTTCTATCATATTCATTTTTGGGTCAGTGGCAGTTATCAGTTTCTCAAATCTTAAAAAATTTTTGTTTGAAATTAAATTAGCCTGCGTTTTAGCTGTTAAAACAGAATCCCAACGAGCCATCATCAACGTCTGGGACTACTGTCAACAGTTTTGCTGCTGGCCGAAACCCACTTGCGTCTTTGGCAAACATGACCCACATGCAAACACACAATCTCACTTCTCATTTAGCTGCCGCGAATGCATCTGGGATGCATTTTAGCCAAAATGCTAACAAATTCTGGTCACCAACATCTTCGGCAACAGTTAGCAAAGCGGCCACATCTCCATTGGCGCCTCAGAAGTCTCCAGCGTCAACTGAAGCAGTGAACTCGAATGATAACGAAACTCCATTGAAATCCGAGTCAGCAACTGACGTTCCTCAAGATCTCTCACTTCGAGGCTCTAAGTCTGAGCTGGAAAACAAAATAGCTGAATCCGGTTTGCCTCCATTGCCTAAGTTGGAAATTCCATCGGAAATCTCTCAAAAGTCGTCCGATGGTAAAGAAGCTTTTAACCCTCAATCCCACATCTTGTCTGCTGTGAAGCGACCTGGCGCCCCTTTGATGCCTCCAGCAAGCATACATGCTAAAATGGCCAGTCAAGTGTCTCCATTTCATTTTACTCCTCAGAGCAGAGCATCAGGTCTTGCACCGCCAATGGGAGCGCACCATATGCCAATAATGTCAAACAGATCGCCTCTTGATCCCGCAACATCGGCAATACTCGCTGCTCAGAAGCTGCAACAAAACGCTTTCGGAAACTTGGCATCTTTCTCCAATCACGCTCATCCAGGATCTTTCATCCCGCCACCGAAACCAGTTCAGCCAAGTCCAAATGGTTTCCTTCATTCTCCCAATATGATGGGAACCCCGATTCTGAATATGAACCCTTTTCATCAAAGTCAGGTGAACCCAGCGTTTGGAAAAACTTCGTTACCATCACCTGCTCAGATGCACTCTATGTTTCATCAGAATCAACTGGAAGCTCAGGCGAAGAACGGCTTTAGATCTGAAAAAGCTGCTGGCCCAAATGGATCTACAACCGGAAGTGGCACTACGGAAGACCAGTCCTGGTGGAGTATCCGACCTCCTGTTAAGCAGCCAATCATGCCAGATGGAAAGCCTCTGGACCCTCTAACTGCATCCATCATTTTATCACACCGGCACCCTTTCGATCAGAGCCTAAACAAGGATCCACACCTTATGCAGATGTTGTACAGCGGTGGACCTCAAGGGGTCAACTCAGCGCCAACCTCAACCGTGTCCACAAGACGCTGCCGACGATGCAGGTGTCCCAATTGTGTCAATGCTATCAATTCTAATAATCCTAACAAGAGAAAGGAACATATCTGTCATTACGAAGGATGCGGCAAAGTATACGGGAAGACTTCACATCTAAAGGCTCACTTGCGATGGCATGCCGGAGAACGACCCTTTGTGTGCAACTGGGTGTTCTGTGCCAAGGCATTCACTCGATCTGACGAGCTGCAGCGACATCTCAGAACGCACACGGGTGAGAAGAAGTTTGTTTGCAACCATTGTGGCAAGCGATTCATGCGATCCGACCATCTTTCGAAGCACATAAAGACTCACTCCAAGCAAAAGATGATGAATGACGGAGATGAGTCTAATTTTGGCTCTCAGCGTCTAAGCGTATCTGAAGATGGCTCCAATGGAACAAGAGGTGATGACTCAGAAAGTATGGACGCAATGAGTGGACATCCAATGGTGGATATGGACGACGATGATGATGACTCGTTTGACTCATCGGACGACGAAGGCGCTGTCGTCAATGTCGATTGATTTCATGACTGCCGTGGAACGATTGTAGCTTCTCGAAAATGCTAGCTCTTGAATATTTTTGCGGACGTTGCCTTTATCCCTATCGATTGATGTGTCACAAAGAAGATGATCAGGATCACTTGAATCCATTTCCAACAAAACTCCTCAAAATCTTTATTTTATACCAGAGCAATGCAACGTATCGCTATATTTAGAAGCATTTCTCAGATTACGCATAAAACTCAAATATAACTGTTCGTTACGATTTTGATTTCCGCTGTGCGGTAAGATTCATCGTCTTGTGACAATCTTGGAGATCTGATTCCAGAAGTTAATCTTTATGTCGGCTGGGGGCTTCTATAGGTACTTGGATCTGGGAAAACGCTGACTCAACCCCTTTTCTAATATCGATGCTTACTTGTTCTTCTTTTCTCTGCTGACATTTTGCTGATGAAATGGATGAAATTAATCATACAGTGACGCTTTAAATACTCATTCTCAATTTTAATGGCTTTATCTTGTTGGTGCTATTTTCAACTCTTTCTATCTCTCTCGCGGACATGCAAATAAAATTGAATATTTAATTAGCGGCTCTAATTTGACGTTTTCCAGCTTTACCCAAGTGCAATAATATTGAAAGCTCGTTTCTTTTCGTTTCAGATCTTGTAGCGTAACAAAATAAGAAACAATAATCTCAGAATCAGGAGCTTTACCATTTTTGAAGGGCTAGAAAGATTATAGCGTTTGCTGAGAAGTTGATCCATAACGGTGGTCTGACTTCAACCTAATTATCTGTTAATAATGTTGCTAATACTAATCCTCCTCTCGTTGGGCTAAATTAGAAAAGATCCTATCTCGCTTTCGTGTCTATCCGTTATATGTATATAGTAATAGTACTACCTACCTTTCTTTTCCCAATTAAGTTTCATCATTCCTTAAATATGTTTTCAATCTACTACCCTCTAGCTGAGAAAGACTTTTTCCTTGAGCTTGCGCTTGAAAGTAGCAAAGAATCAGGAAACAAATCCGCTTATTTTTTCGGACAGTATACGTAGATTTAGTTTCTTGTTGTTCAAATCATTCTTGTATTTTGCTTCAAATTCTGAAGTCATTTCATGATTGGTGGCATTGATGTGGCGACTGGCAGTCGATTTGCTGTTCAAAGTATCTGTTGTGTCATTCACTTGTATTGTATCAACATTTTGTGCAAGGTTTTGAAGCTGGGAGCAAGGGGAGGGGGAGGGGGAGGGGGAAGGGTGGTGTGGTATTGCTTTTATGAGACGCCTCGGGTGACTGTTAGTGGGAGTTATGTTGGATTGGGCTGGTTCGGTTGGGGAAGAATAAAGTAGAAGTGGTTGAAACGGAGAAGCGGAGTGAGATAAAGAGTCAGGGTGGGGTGGGGTTGGTGGGATGAAAGGTAGTTGTAATTTGGGGACTGTAGGGACTAAGGAGGGCTACTTAGCATTAACTAGGGTGAGTTTAGTGGGGCTGAAAGAGAGAATAAAGGGAGACTTCAAACACCGTTTATGATTGTGCTAAGACTGAATTTTGATTAAGTACCTGATTGAAGTTAATCAGAGATGAAAGCAATCTTGTTTGTCTTTGTCTGCAAACATAAACAGCCGTTAGGTCGCTACTCGCTACTCCTCGCTATCTCGAAGCTCCTCCGCATCGAATCCGACCAGTCAGACTCGACGATATGAAATATACAAAACAAAACAACAAACGCCGCCTTACCATATTAGCCAATACTATTCCAAAGCATACATTTCCAAACACGCCAACATGACTGAATAATACTATTATTATGTCCTTACCAACTAGGTAACTAACTAACATGAAAGAGTCACGGGGTACTCTTTGAGTTTTGGCTAATTTTGTTTTGGCTTTGAGGTGGCAATTTGGACTTGAAATAGGTCGGCCGTTATATTGTCGTATCTGCCTAAATAGTTCACTTCAGAAGTGGCGGAGTATAGATACTAGTTCAAAGCAAAGTTAGGAAAGAGGGGGGAATTAAAGTGGAGCAACTGTTAAGTCGCCCTAATGCCCAGTACTTTGAAGGTGAAGCGAGGGACTGAGATCTAAGCAAGAGAGAGACAACACAACACTACAATCAAAAACAACATAACAGACACTATCAGTACGGCACAATAAGGGAGGGGAGGGGGGAGGGGGAGTTGCAATAGAACTAACTCTTTTTGAAGTTCAAACGACAAGTATCAAAGTGCCTCCTAATACTGCTAGAGCAGCACTAAAGTATTAGTAGTTGTAATATCAGTTAAATATAAATTTATTTATACTGCCTTTTGTACTCACATCACACGGAACAGATCAGATCAACCAGTCGGCCGGCATATCCAGCCGATAGAAAAGCCAGAAGTGCTTTGCTATTACTAGTAGTCCCAGCCCCCCCCCCCCCTCGGCCCGGCGTCATATTACATATGATAACTGGGCCGGAACTGGGACTAAAGACAGCTCCGCTTGAAGTTGTATGTAGTTGCAATCCAATCCAATTCGATCGATGAGCACTGTTATATTAATACTATTCAAAGGGACGCCGCCGCGGGAGACATGAAAGGAAAGTGTCTTTCAAGTTCAAAAAGAAGAGACCAGTTGTTGCATTCGCCATTAATTTTTCATACTATTCCTTTCAAGTTCTTCACATCCCATCCCCCATCAACACATCAAACAACGCCCAATATACACTTGGCTTAATATGTAAAAAAAACAATGTAAGCTTTCTGAATCTAAACAAATAGAATTCATCTTTTTAGCCAGAAAATTTATACCCAAGATATGTTAACATTCAGAAGCGGGTGCCACCTTCCCAGGAATTCCACTCAATCCCATCACTGCTCAAACTTCGGGTCAGTTTAGGGCACTTTTTGGAAGGTTCGGAATGAAATCAGAGTATATTTGCGCTTTTTTAAAAAACAAAAGGCCTGTTCGGCTCAAAGTTATTGTCATAAAATACTAATAAATGGGGACAATCTAAATTAGAGCGAGTGCCTGCGCCTAAAAAAACGTTTTTTGATCAGAACCTACCAAAAAGTGACCCAATCTGTCATTTCCTCAAAATTTGCCTGCGGCTCAGACATTTTTTGAGTGCATGTTTGCCGCTCAGTAAAAAAAGAATCTTTTTAGGAGAGCTCGGAATTCCATTTGGTTGGCCTGAAAAATTACTTGAAATTTTCAGACAACTGCAAGTTTTTCTAATGTAGTTTGACCTATGGCTTTTCATATCAGTATGGCTTTTGGCGAATGAGTATAATTATTGATCCGACAGTTTCACGAAGAAGGAGGGAACTATGGCGTATCTTTTTTTTCCTCAAGATTTTGATCTGAAAGAGAGCTCTATGGGACCAAGTGTAGCATCTTAAAAAAACCTTTTCAGTCATGATTCAATTTGAAAAATGCTAAAAGTTGTTTCAGTTCTGAGTTGTTGTGTTTTTGAGACTAAAGGTCACATTTACGAATGACTCGATAGTAGATTGAACTATCTATTTAACTATTCTCCTATTGTTTGTTTTTAGGCTATTATTGTTCCGACTTGATCTTTATTTCAAGGGTCAATCTCAACTTAGGGATGAGTTGGAGATATTTTGGTTGAGGTTTTAAGAGAAAACTTAAGAACAGTTTTCAGCTTCTATTTATATATTTTTTGGAAAATCTCTCAATTTGTCATAGCTGATAAGAAGTTAGTTATTGGCTTCGTTATCTCTCCTGATAGTCATTCGACATTCGTATTTTACGAGCATAATCGTTCATAACTTCGTAGTTCACGAGTAGAGTCGTTTTTTTTCTCAATACTTAACACGTTATACTAGTTATTCCAAATACTTTAAGCGTTGGTTTTCATTCATTTTTCAAATGGATATAAACATTTTGTTTTTAGTGCTAATGTCACGCATTTTGAGCTCAATAAATATCATGTTTCTGTTTCAATATAAAATCAGAACAAGCGATAAGGCATTAGAAAGAATAAAATTTCTAGCTTCATCATTTTTTAACCAAAAGACATCCGAGACAAATTGAAGGACAGTCGAAACGTTGTTTTCTGATCTGTGCCAGCCTCGGTTTTTGCGTCACGCAAAATTTTCAATGATCGAAATAAGCAAAATTCGATTATGGAAATGAAGTTTACAGCAAAGTTTCTTCATTTGAGGATAACGATGACAAGATCGTTAAAATGTTTCGCTTTATCTGCGACATTATTTGGGCCATGAACTTTTTCTACTTTCATTCGAAACAAAGTATTTGATTAGACAATGCGCTACCATGCGCAAGTTGTATCGCTAAGTTCTGGCTAGACTCATGGCCTTACTTCGAAAATTTATCAATTATGTAGCCTAAAAAGACTTCAGGCTTTTTTCCGTTAAACCTTAGACTCTGAAGCTACAAATGATTTCATTGCGCCTGCGGTTAGCAAGCGCATTGTACTAGGGAACTAGATTTCCCCCGTGAACAATTTCAAACAGAATTGGTTCGCGAGATGTTACGTGCCTCTTACAAATTTTTAATGCAATGACGGTTGACGCAGACTATACTAGAGGCAACGACGATGCCTCGCACACTTAAGTCTTAGGCTTGATTCAGGGTGGGAGTCGGTTTTTTTTTCCAATTGAATTGTTTGTCTACTGATTTTTATCGGCTCAAATTCTTAATTTCAATTCATGGAGTTTCTCATTGAAGCTATTTTTGCCTGATCTTCTTGTTCCGACTTTCGATACGAAAATAACGGAATATTTGTGCTCGGGGTGGGTTTTTTTCTTCAGACAAATTTCGACTTTTTAACTAGCCATTTTTGACGGAATATTTTTATATCATTCAAAAGCTATTGTTGTCCTGAGCTTAAATTTGAAAAAATATTTCACCTGTGATCATTTTTCGTAAAGTTATGGGGGTTTAATGATTGCCATTTCGGCCAATTTGGGACAATTAACGCGTGATATATTTCTCGCCATTAACTCTTAAGCGGAGATTTAATCCGTCTTAGAAATAGTTCAAAATTGGTTCAAGGAAGCTTATATGCCATAATTGATTTGTTAATAGTAGCAAACTCTATCACTTTGTACTTAATATGACGTGTGGGGATGTTTTCACAAAAAAAAATTCAATCTATATTTTTTTAATTTTAAATTTTATTTTATTACATTTGAATTTTTCATGTTATTACTGCTCTATAGACCCTAAAAGGCAGTCGGAACATTCAGGGCTTCGCGGGCAGTCTTGTTACTTTTCGTTTAGCTATTTTTCACGTAATTTAATCGCCGATTGTTAAAAGAAACCAGAAAAGTGGGAGCAGGAAAATGAAAAAAAAAATCTTGTTTCGAATTTTTCCCATGTTTTATATTTCTTAATTTTAATCGTTCTTATTGGAACATTCATTGTAGTCCAAATATTCATTGTAGTCGATTCTTGCACTGCTACGGGCTATCATTGTTGATCCGACTTTCGAGGAAAGAGGAATATATATGCTTGGGGTGTTTTTTTTTTCTATTTAGACCAATTTCGTTAACAAAATTTGCTGATTATGGAGATCAATCCTCGAATTGTTGTGATTTCAGTGAGGGAGAGCTCACCACTATATCAACTTGACTATACTGTCGCCTTGAAACGAGTGTAAACGACGACTTGCTTTATAGATTCATGCTGAAAATTCATAGTTAGTAATATTTTTATCGAAAATTTTTCGAGATCAATTAATAGAAAGTTGGAACGCTTAAGGTTTTCCCCTGATATACGAGCAGTTTTGTTTCTGTTTAGAAAAAAATTGTGAATTTTTAGACATAAAAGTTGTCTGTCAGTATATGTTCGGAAAAAGTGACGCAAACTTTAAGCTTGACGTGTGTTTTTAGAGCAATTGCCTTATTTAAATTAATCGTTTTTGTGGGTCAATTTTTTTTACCAGCTGAAAGATAGTAATGCCCTGAGCTCAAA